TCTGGATCTAAATTCCCCAGCTGCTCCATCGCTCCACGTCATCGTCTCTGCCTCCATCTCAGGCATCACTGCTTCTCTGGGTAGGGTCCTGCTTTACACTCTTCACCATTGATGGTCCCAGGGACCTCCGCTCCTAGATTGAAAAGTTAATCACTCCCCTCCTTGCTATAAAACCTTTACATTTCCAACCCTCACAATCAGCCCTGATAATTTGTCATTTTCGTGTTTTTACTCTTTATGCCATGTACTTATTCTTTACTGCGTATTACTCATACTGAATGCCATGAGTATGATTCAATTCCCAATCTGTATTTTTGCTCTAAACATCTCTCATTTACTCTTAAGCCAGTATATCCAACTTGAACATACCAGACACTTCGAAATGTTTGTCTTTTAAGAAAATTATTCCTATGCCCTCATGCCCTTCTTTTACATTATTTACTAAGATTTTCCCAAGTAGAAACCAGGGTCCTCACCATCTGCCTTGTATCTAATCAGTCTATATGTTGTATCTCTTAAAACCCCTTAATAGCTCTTGAATCTCAACAATGGCACTATTGATATTTTGGTCTTCATTATTCTTCTGGGGGATGGAATAGGATGCTTAGCACGATCCCTAGCCACTACCCACCTCCCCAGGTGTAGCAGTCAGATATGTCTTTAAACATTGGGAAATGTCCCCTGGGTGGCAGATTTGCTCAAGTCCTTGTCATTGCCCTCATCATTGCTTGTCTGGATTACTGCAGTGGTTTCAAACACTAGGATATCCTTGCTTACAAGTCATCTTCAAGCTCCATCCTCTAACCACTTGTCCAAATTGGCACCAGAGTGATTTCAGCATGCACGCCTGCTCTTGTCAAACTCCCTACATAAATTGCTAATTTTTGTAATAACCTCTGACTGGTATAAAGATTTGATATACAGTCTGACTTTCTCTTTATTTTCTACTTTTAAATTCGATTTTTTTCTTTATTTCCATTTATTCTTTTTTCTTCCTCTGTTCTTTTATGAACATTTGCATTTTGATTTCTTTTACAGTAAGCTTTATTTTTTAATTTTGTAGGAAAAAATATTCATGTGTATATAAAATGTGTGTGTATGTATGTGTGTGTGTTTAGATATGTAAAGAAAAGCCAAAGTGCATAGAGAAAACTTCAAACCATAAGTGAACTAGGCAGGCAATATAAATTTACAAGTTATATAAGAATAAACATATATGACTGATAACACATGGAAAAAGTGTTCCCCTCACTGCTAGCCAGATAAATATTAATGAGATACCAATTTTTACTGATCATATTTGCTACAAGTTTTAAAATTTTACTTGAAACTTTGGTAAAGTGCAATAAGGTAGGGTATGTTCATAACTGCTGTGATATAGCAAAGTGAATGACTAGCCCATGGGTAGTTACTTAGTGGGTGTTAGAGCTGCAATATGAACTGGGTAATGTCGCCTCCTCTGTCCAGGAAGCTTTCTATATAGCTTGCCCTTTCCTTACATTCTCTCCTACCCCGGCTTCTTTGAGGACCTGTCTCTGTTTTCACATGGTATCTTGTTCATAGTTGTAGTTTTGCATTTATTTAATGGAATTATAATTATAGTATGCCTTTGGAATTTGAGAACTTAGCATTTCTGATTCAGCTTCTTCTTCTTCAGAAACTCAGGAGTTACAGGTATGTTTGCATGACATGTGGAGAATCACATACAAATCTGGTATACCAGAGGAACTCTTCCCATGAGTGTAGGCCCAGCACTGAAATGTCAACTATAAGTCCAAAGTTTCAAAGATCTGGACATGGCATAAAATGTAAAAACACTAAAAGGATAAACAAATACTTGGTGCACACCAATATTTAAGGCAACATTGAACGTGAGATAATTATTTTTTAAATTGTTGAACTCATACATGCAAAGGTGTATTGACCTTTTTAACTATTTTTAAGGCTTTGTCATTCCTTGGCAAATATAAAGGTTCTTTATATCCTTTTTTTTTTTTTTTTTTTTTTAATCGCATGTGCTAGAATCTGGGAGTCCTGGTTGGTTTGAACCACGAGGTTGGTAGTTCAAACTCACCGTCCACTCCTTGGAAAACGTATAAAGGGTGGCTATGAGTGGGAACTGACACAGCAGCACTTAAGGCCAACAAAAGCACTGGAGTCTGAGTTCCTTTAGCTGAAAAACTTTCCATCGAGTCAGCTCTAACAAAGGTAGCCCCATGTGTTACCAAGTATAACTGCCCCATAGCATTTCATTGGCTGATTCTTCGGAAGTAAATTGCAAGGCTTTTCATCCAAGGCACTTCTGGGTAGACTCAGAGTTGCAGTCTTTCTGTTAGTACCTTAGCATGTTAACTGTTTGCACTACCCCAGGACTCCCTTCATTGTAGGACCAACTTACTCAACTTGTAATTCAGACTGGCACAGTTACTAGTGCATGCTTACATTTAAGTAATTCATTCATAGTGTCTTTAAATCATAGGTCCTCTGCTGTACCACTTTGAAAATTTGGCAAATGAACTTTCTATAGAATTGAGCTATGAAGACATTAAGAATGTTGTTCTGCAATATGGATTCCAGGTAGAGGTAAGGATGAAATGAAGTACTGACAAAGTCTAACTTTCAAAGTACTTGAACATTCAGGGTGAATGGGTGTGGGAGGGATAATGGGAGTGTACCCACAAATGTATATAAGTCTGACAGAGGAGTTTTGTACATTGGTGTTTACCCTTGCTTCAAATAAGTTCATGGATATAGTAAAACAATATTACGGGGCAAAGTTATGAAAGCTTCTTAGACATAACCACAAACACTTTTAGGGAATAAGTTGCTGGACCTAGGAACTCAGGACCATAGTCTTGGGGAACACCAAGGTCAATTGGTATAACATAGTCCACAAAGACAACGTTCTATATCCAGCTTTTGTAAGTAGTGGCTGGGATCCTAAAAGCTTGCAAGTGGCCATCTAAGGTACAACTATTGGTCTGTCTCTGGAGGAAAGAAGACTCGATAGCACTTAACAACATAGACTTTCATGATGAATACTAAGTAGGTTAGATTCTAGGGAAGCAGAGAGGGAGCCAGATGTAAAAGGGATACTTACCATTGTATGTCCTTTTGCAGTGTTTGATATTTTTTATCTTGTACATTGTTACAGGGTTTTATGATATTTTAACTGTTATGTTCTAGTTGTACATTTATCTAGAAGCATTCTATTCATTTTAAAATAAACAACAGATTTGTTCTTTAAAATAAAGATATGCAATATACTTATATGGTTTCAAATTCAAGCTCTGGAATTAGACTGCCTGAGTGCGAATCCCAGTTCTGCCACTGTATATCAGCAGTGTGACCATGGGCAAATTACCATAGCCTGTCCACACTTCAAATTTTTGTAAAAATAAGATTTCTAGTAGTATCAATCATATGAGAGTAATAAATGAATTCATATACAGACAGTGCTGAAAATAGTGACTGCCATTTTTAAATGCATAATATTGGTTAGTGGCATTATTATTATCTTCATTATTATTTCTATTACAGGTGGAAAAAGAATCTGTCTTGTCAACATATACTGTGAATGATCTCTCCATGATGAAATACTACTACGAATGTGTCTTGTTTGTGGTTCGTAAACCACAATAATTGTCTCAAATGATATTTACAGGAAAAAAGTTTTAACAAGAACAAATGCTGAAATAAACAATTCACAACCAACTATTAGTAATGACAAGACAAGACCTCAAATCAGTGGTGCCTTCTTATTCCTAAAACAATTTAGAAATAACATCTATTTTCTTAATATGTGTTTATTGCTTTTTCTGAACTATATTATGCCATGTATATTTGAATGAGACAAGTGAAAATGGAGGAAAAGTCTTTAAGTATACACTGTTTCCCTACAGCACAGAATTGTACCAGTGTCTTCATGAAGTTCTCTGCCATATTGATGACTAATAGTATTTAAAGCTTATAATAATATCGTCATTTTAAACACATTGAATGTATTATGTTTTAGAATTGTCTGAGTATCCTCTGTCACATACAACATCTAGGATTGGGACTTTTTGTTCACTTTAGACCTACACAGTCTGTACATAAAATGTGTGTCTATTCTTTTATCATTCAAATTATTTTATTTTTCTAGCTCAGCTAAACTTAGAGAAGCATCAAGTATTTCATTCTTATGTAGTACTAAATTTAACAGCATCACAGGCCAGTAATCTGAGAAATTAAGACTTTCATCCTCACTAATTTAAACATTTTTTGAAAACATGTCACTGAATCACTCTGAAATATTTAAAATCTCAGCATCCCAAGTGAGACATAAGTGTTCGTTAAAAGTAGAGTTAGCAAACCAGGAAAATAAGAATAAAATTTGCCCACTCAAAATGTATCATTTAAACTAAACGAATACAGTTTAGCAGTGTGATGTTTACAATAATGTCTTTAGATTACTGGATTATAAAAGCAAGCACTTACTTTTTTTTTTTCATTATAATAATTAGTATACTAGTAAAAACTCACAATGGTATTAATGTGGAGCAATTTTGAATATGAAATTCAGGGATAAATTACTGCCCATGGTCTGTGTCTTTAATATTATATAAGCAGCAGCCATTAATGTAATTTCAGATTCACATCCATTTTATTCCCTGATAGCTGGAGCTTGCTTTAAATTTCTGCTGCTTTAAATTTCTACCTCTAGAAGATCTTTATTGGAGAGAATTTTCCTTTGTATTTTTGTATGTTTATTACTCTGTTTCCAATAGCTGGCAAAGTAGAGATGACTAACTTAATGCTTTCATTTTTTTCTTGGAGAAAAAGAAGTACTCTTGTTTGAGTACTGTCACAGATGATTATGATTGAATGAAGTGATCTCTGTAGATATTTGGATTAATCCAGATGGACTTAATCACAATGTGTGGGTAAGGTAAATGACATTTTAAATCTAGAAACATTTATAAATCTTTAGACCTTTGTTGTCAGGTTGAGGGAGTCACTACATGATTTGATGTTTTACTCAGAGGGCCTTTTCTGCGTAGTAAGGGAGTTCTTTGGATCTTTCTTCCTGTTACACAGTAACATTCTCTGGAGTTACTTTAACTTGTCAAGTTATGGAGCCCTGTAACGTGTTTGTCTTTGTTTTAGTTTTTAAAAAACAAATTCTCTTCTTTGTGTTCCTTCAGTATTTGGTAGATGTTCATTTGGTAAGAATTCACATTACCTACAGGAATGAACTTGAAATTAATTGCAAGGTAAAAGAAAAGAAAACAAAAAAACCCCACTTTTCCTTTTTTAGAAAGATAGGAAACTTAAACAGAGTCTAAGTACATGAGAAAACCCAGGGAAAAGAAAGAATGCATGCTATCTTTGAGTAATTTAAAAATGCTTTATTCACTGACTGGTATTTACTTTTTATAACAGCAAAACAAATGATCCATATTTTTAAAAAGAGCCAATACAAGCCAACACCAGTAGTTAGGCTCTTTTTCTTAAAATTCTTTTCACTATTAGGATTTATTCTTTAACAATGTTACTTATGTTTCTAAATTTTAGCTTATATTTTAGTTAATTCTGAAATCTATTTCATGTTTGTCATTTCTCCTTTATATCATGAATGTTAAATATGTTCTATATAAATTTATATCACTTTTCCTATGCCTTTTGCAGTTAATATATTCTAAACTTGAATATGGTATTAATCAAAAATAGATGTGCATTGGAGGATTTATTTAATTTTGCATTCTTTATGTTTATTTCTAGCTACTTAAGTATGTAAGCCTTAAAAACAAAAACAGAAAACTCCCCAAATTTGTTCTATCACAAATATTTTCATAAACTGGGGGATATAAATCATTGTGCTTTTCTTATTATTATTACCATAAATGTAATCAGTGTAGGTTATGACATGTTAATCATGTGAGCATGATTGAATATAAAAGATGAAGAGAAGCTGTATAAATCACAGTATAAAATTAAGATGTTGGGGAACTGTAAAATGTACTGTATTTATATGTTGTTCTCATTTTACAAGTTATCATAAAGGCTGGTTTGGAAGCTTCATGTCTGCATGAAATCCCTTATATTTTTAATGTGTATGATGGATTTATTTTTTCTTGAATATTAAAGTCTGCCAATTGCTATGAAATCATGCTTGGTTGTTTCCATCTAAGTTTGTGATAATCACAGACATGGGAATTGTAACTAATTGTCTACATGTACTTTTGGAACTCCTGAATTAGCCTATTTTTTGTATGCTTCTAGGAAGCCAATAATATGATTAGCTGACTTTTGAGTGTGCTAATAAGCCTTTTACTATTTTCACTTTTCTTATTCAAGTTCACTGTAATAAAGTTGGAATCTACCAAAAAACAAAAAAGATTAATCTTGATCTTTAGCTTTATATAGTCAATAGAAAACTGTTAGAGAAATAAATAGTTCTGCAATTTCCCACTTTTCAATAACGAAAACAGCATCTAGTCAAGTTTAATAAGGTTCAATAATGATAACCTATCATTAACATTAACTTCTATAAGTCATCTGAAGGAGCCAGAGTGACACAGCAGTTAAGCACTCAGCTGCTAACAAAAAGGTTGTGACATTTTGAACCTATCCAGTGACCCTTTGAGAGAGACTTGGAAAATTACTTCTGTAAAGAATGTTAAGTGCTGTCGAGTCAATTCCAACTCATAGCGACCCTGCATAGGGTTTCCGAGGCTGTAAATCTTTACAGGAGCAGAAAGCCTCATCTTTCTCCCGCAGACGTGCTGGTAGTTTCAAACTGCTGACCTTGATATTAGCAGCCCAGTTCATAACCATTACACTACCAGAGCTAGGAAAGTTCTACTTGTGTCACATGGCATCTCTCTGGCTCAGAACAGACCAGTGTTACCCAACAACCACTTAAATCAACTAGACCTCATTGTTGTTAGGTGCTGTTGAGTCCGCTCCAACTCAGCGACCTAGTACAGGGTTTCCAAGGAGTGGCTAGTGGGTTTGAACCTCTAACCTTAATAGTTAGCAATCCAGTGCTTATCCTACAGGACCACAGTAGACCTTAAAAACATAAATAGGGCACTCTCCCAACTATGGGGAGTCCTGGTGTGGGCCTGTTAATGAGCTAGACTGCAAAGTCAGTTTGAATTGCAAAGTTGCTGGTTCAAGCTCACTAGTTGCTCCTTGGAAACTCTCTACAGGGTCACTATGGGTTGGAACACACTCAACGGCACTTAACAACAATCCAACCATGACTGGAGTTCTGGTGTGGCGCTGTGGGTTAGTACACTGGACTGCAAAGTCTCTGAACTGCAAGGTCAGTGGGTCAAGCTCACCAACTGCTCTTTGGAAACCATATACAGGGTTGCTATGGGTCAGAAACGACTCAACAGCGCTTAACAACAACAAACCCAACCATGTAAATCAAAAAGTCTTGCTGTGAGGGTTCCAGTTCATATATGTATGGGTTTATTCCAAACAAAATATGTTCAAACATGTCTCTGTGATAACTGGATGGCTGTAGACTAGCTCTTTCAGTAATACACTTTTCTTGATCTCTTTAGGATGCCTTAAAAAAAAAAAAAGGTTCAATCAAAATAATGGTTTCTGGGTCAGTTAAATTCAAGGCTGAGAGCTCAGCTGAAAAAGGTTATGGTGACTGAGGGCTTACAAAGGGTTAATTTTGGTAGGTTTTTCTCAAAAGGCACAGGATGCTCAGAGGACTGCTTTATTTAAAAAAAAAAAAAATTCAAGAAAATTGAAAACTGAATCTGTGAGAAAAAGGCAAGCAAGCTTGAGAAGTTGCACTGAAGAGTTCTTTTCCAGCATGACTGTGTCTGCTCATTCTTTGAGGATAGCAAGGACTGTCCTTCAAGAATTTCGCTGGAAAACCTTACTTTCTCCTCCCTATAGCCCTGATCTTGTCCCTTCAGACTTCTTTTTGTTTCCACAACTCAGAGACTATTGAAAAGGAACACTGTTTGAATACCTGGAGGATGCCAAAGGGACTGCCATCTTGATGTGATGTAAATTGAAGAGCACCGAAGGGTTAGAGGTGGAAACACCACCTTCTTAAGTCTATAGTCTTAGATAGAATATATGTTGAGAAACAAGTTTCACAGTTTGATGCTTTTGTTACATAAAAGTGTCTATGATTTTTATAGTTTTACCCTATAGCACCACAGCAGGCTGGATCATAGGGAGGTGTATATTCACCTTTTTAAGAAACTACAAAACTGTTTTCCAAAGTGACTGTACAATTGTACATTCCCAGAAGCATTTGGAAAAGTTGCCTTGCCAACTGAGAAAGTGATCCATATTTGTGCCTGTTCCAAGAGCTATGATCCAACAATGTGAAAATTATTGGATATCATTAGTATCGCACAAAAAATTTTGTTGGAAGATAATTCAGAAATGGTTGTAAAAGTACCTTCATAGGGAACTGACAAATTCAAGCTAGATTCAGAACAGGATGTGGAATGAGGGATATTGTTGCTGATATCAGATCTTGGCTGAAAGCAGAGGATACCAGAAAGATGTTTACCCGTTTTATTTACTGTGTAGGCATTTCAGCTGTGAGGATCATAAACTATGGATAATATTTACAAATAATGGGAATTCTTGAACATTTAATTGAACTCATGTGTTACTTGTACACTGACCAAGAGGCAGTTGTTCAAACAGAGCAAGATGGATACTGCATGGTTTACAATCAGGAAAGGTGTGTGTCAGGGTTCCATCTTTTCACCATTCTTATTCAGTGTGTATGCTGAGCAAATTAATTCAAGAAGCTGAATTTTATGAAGCATCAGGTTTCAAATAATAATCATTAACAACCTGTGATACACAGTTGACACAACCTTGCTTGCTGAAAGCGAAGG